CTAAACCCTAAAACTTAAACCCCTAAGCCCTAACCCCCAAACAGCTAGAGGCCCCCCTAAACCCTAAACCTAAACTCCAAACCCCTAAACCCAAAACCGTGTGCTACTTGGAGGTTCAGGGGTAGTTAGAAATAGGGTTATAAGTAGGCTAACTATACTTATAACCCATATTAGGGGACTTATAACCCCACTTATAACTAACCCTAAACCCTAAACCCTATAGAACCCCTTAAAGGAACCCTTAAAGGAACCCCATAACCCCACTTATAACTACCCATGAACATCCAAGTACATGTTCAGCCCCAGAAGCCTCTAGCTTGAGCCAGGCAGGTTTAGCCCCAGCCTCGAGACCCCTACTGTTTGCAAACCGGGGTCCCTTTTTTTAAGGAAGATGCCTCAAAGCTTCTGAGGGATGGTGCTATAGGTTAAGGTATGTTCAGTGCAAGTAGTAGTCGTCGTAGTAGGAGCAGCAGCAGCAGTGGTGATTTTCGTGGTGGCGGTGGTGGTGGTGGTGGGCAGTAGAAGTACTTCGGTAACATCATGCATCCATTGCAGCATCGCAGCAGCCGCGAAGACGCCAGAAAAGTCACCCCCCAATAACCTACCCCGCAGTTTAAGGAAGCCAAAAACAGGTAGGTTATTGGGAGGTAAGGTTTAGATAAACAGGAACGACTCCGATCACGGCAACGCCCGGTAATAGTGGTGATAGCAAATACAAACATCACGAGTTTCTGAGGAACCAATTCAGGGTTTATGGTAAGGGTTTCAGTTTGACTCTTAGGGTGCCCAGTGCTCAGTAGCCGTGTATGACGCTGGACAGCCAACAATCTTCAATGAAGTGATCCTGGCGGCTGCCATAATAAGGGCACCAACACAAGAATGGTTCTTTGGGACCAAATATCTTGCAGTACCTGAAGCACCCGAAAACTTCCTGAACCGTGAATAAATGGAATTGGACTTTTGGATGAAGTACAAAAATGGCTTCATCGATAATGTTTACTTAAAACCCTAAACCCTAAACCCTAAACCCTAAACCCTAAACCCTAAACCCTAAACCCTTAAAAGCTTGTCACGGAAGTCCCAGGATGTGTCCATGAGCCAGAGGGAGCGAGAGCAGGTAGGTTTAGGTAGGGTTTGGGGTTTAGGGCTCAGGGTTGTGGGTTTGGGGTTTAGGGTTTAGGGTTTGGGATTTGGCGTTATAAGTTTTGGGGTTGAAGGTTTACCCTAAACCCTAAACCCTAAACCCTAAACCCTCAACCCTAAACCCTAAACCCTAAACCCTAAACCCTAAACCCTAAACCCTCAACCCTAAACCCTGAGGGTTTCGGGTTTACAGCACCAGAAGCCTGAGGGTCTGTGAAAGGATGGCGCCGAGCCGCGGTCCTTGGATTCCGAGGCCTCCATTCCGTCAACGGTTTAGGGTTTAGAGCTTTGGGTCTAGGGTTTGGAGCTTCGGGTTTAGGGTTTAGAGCTTTGGGTTTAGGGTTTAGAGCTTTGGGTTTGGAGCTTTGGGTTTGGAGCTTTGGGTTTAGGGTTTGGAGCTTCGGGTTTAGGGTTTAGAGCTTTGGGTTTAGGGTTTGGAGCTTTGGGTTTGGAGCTTTGGGTTTAGGGTTTAAAGCTTCGGGTTTAGGGTTTAGAGCTTTGGGTTTAGGGTTTGGAGCTTTGGGTTTGGAGCTTTGGGTTTAGGGTTTAGAGCTTCGGGTTTAGGGTTTAGAGCTTTGGGTTTAGGGTTTAGAGCTTTGGGTTTGGAGCTTTGGGTTTAGGGTTTAAAGCTTCAGGTTTAGGGTTTAGAGCTTCGGGTTTAGGGTTGAGAGCTTTGGGTTTGGAGCTTTGGGTTTAGGGTTTAGAGCTTTGGGTTTAGAGCTTTGGGTTTAGAGCCTAGGGTTTAGGGTTAGAGCTTTGGGTTTAAAGCCTGGGCTTTAGGGTTTAGAGCTTTGGGTTTAGAGTTTAGGGTTTAGCATTTAGAGCTTTGGGCTTAGAGCTTAGGTTTAGGGTTTAGGGTTTAGAGCTTTGGTGTTAGGGTTTAGGGTTTGGAGCTTAGCGATCAGGGTTTAGAGCTTTGGGTTTAGAGTTTAGGGTTTAGGGTTTAGAGCTTTAGGTTCGGGCTTAGGGTTGAGAGCTTAAGGGTTTAGGGTTTAGGGAATCACCTGCTCAGGGCTTCAACTTAGCGTCTGGGGAAGCTTACGGGGCCCAGAGCAGATTTTCGAAACCCTAAACCCTAAACCCTAAACCCTAAACCCTAAACCCTACACCCGAAACAGCTCTCTCGGGCAGGTGTTGGCCTGTACATGTTTTAGGCCCATACCTGGGCCAGCAAACATGCAAGTCTTAACCCCGAACCCTAAACCCTAA